ATAGTATGTAGTCGCACATACTGGAAATGGGTTGCATTTGAACATTTTAATCATTTGTGGCTATTTTAGCAAGGTAAGTGCAACAAGATTTCTTAAGCAAATTTATTGAGAATAAATAGACTTATTTGCGTGCGTAATGCGACTTGTCCTTGAACATTTTATTTTAAGTAAATATAAGTACATATGTATTTATACATGTAGATATGTATATGYAATGGAAAGTACCTAAAAGTATTTGCTAAATGAGAAATAAAAAAAATGTTAGAATCTTTGTATGTATATGCATGGCATTGGCAATGCCAATGAATAATCACCGTCGGCGGGGCCAATTCTGTTGAGTATTGTCAATTGAGATCCTTGAAATTACTATTAAAATAAATTACTATTACAAGAAATAACAACTTAACTTGAACAAAAATATTTAATATGCGTAAAACATGCAAATCTTCTTCTTCTTCTGTAAAAAATATTTTTATAAATAATTATTAATCYGGAAAATAAATCCACATCAACATATTTGTGTTGTTTTGTGAAAAGCAAAATGATTATAACATAACAATAACTTAGTAAATAGCGTATTAGTTATTTCTTCGACGTCATACACTACAAATTATATACTTTAAATTGTCATATCGAAGTCGAAAAAGCCTTTTCTTGTTTCTATTATTATATTTTCAAGTCTTACCTTCAGTTRATTTTCAAGATTAGCAAGATTTTTACGATTTTTAGACGTTTTGTAACTTATGACTTTGAAATATATATTTTGTTTTGTTCAATAAGAAGTTACCTTCAGTTTTAGCGAGACACAACTTACCCTCGTAAAAGCTTTGCACTTTCAAACATATTTTTACACTTTCGTGCAATCTCAAGCACAAGAGGAATGTCGTCAATATCTGTTGTAAGCTTGAAACAAAAGTTGTGCAGCACTGCATTACAGGTCCTTAGCGACTTCTTATCCAACTTCGGTGCTAATGAGGCAATTTGCTGCCAATCACTTCAGCATTCCCACGGCAATCAAAAACTAATAAGCAATATTTTTTTACAAAATATATATTTTCACCAAGTATATATCAAATAGTAGTTCTGCTTTCTCCAGGCTGAATAAGGACGCGAAGCAAATGGATCGGGTAGTGAACGAGGGCAAGTCGAAATATCTCTTGTTATCAAACAAGCAGTCATCGCGCTCGCGATTTAGCTCCCACGTCACTGTTGACAATCATAACTTCGAAGKCGTAGATAATTTCGTTTATCTTGGAACCAGTAGTTACACCAACCACAATGTCAGCCTTGAAATCCAACACAGMATAACTCTTGCCAACAGGTGCTACTACGAACTGAGTGGGCAATTGAGAAGTGAAATGCTCTTTAGACGAACAAAAACTAAACTCTAYAAGTAACCCATTATTACCGTTCWGCTATATGGTGCAGAGGCATGGAAGATTACAACATCTGATGAGTSGACGTAAGGAGTTTTCGAGAGAAAGGTTCTGCGGAAGATATATGGTSCATTGCGTATTGGTTACGGCGAATATCGCATTCGATACGAGTTACACGACGACAACGACATAGTTCAGCGAATTAAGAGACGGTGGCTACGCATGGACGAAAACACACCAGCTATGTTTGTATATAAAATAACATATTCTGATAAGTGAAAATACATTAACTTTGAAAAAAAAATTTTAAGAATTTTGTTCAATGAGAACTCTTTGGTGTATACCTCCAGCGAAAAGCTAACGTTTTGAAAGCAGCCGAATACATGTTCRACAATAAGGAAATTGTGTGCGATGTGTATTGAAGCCAGGCGACGTTGGGAAATGATATTGCATCAAGAAGTAGTTAGAAGTGCATTGGATTGTTATATAAATGGATTCATTATGATAACCATAAATTCAACAAAACTTGTGAGAAATATGTAGAAAAAGTCAACTCAACRGCCGATATATCTTTGACGTTAATGGAMMACGCTACCGACAACAACTCATMAAATTGAAGCGAGCGATTGCCAAAAAACCACCGGAATTCGCGACTAGACAGGAGGTAATATTTTGTCATCATGATAATAAGCGGTCTCATGTTATAAGACGGTTTAAAAATAATTTGGAAAAGAACGACTTAGAAGTATTGCCTTAATCGCCTTAGCCCAGAAATTCTGCTTCTAACTTCTATGAAACTTATTAGAGGGCGGGTTGGAGCTTTGGTTTGCAAAATTTCAGTTCAGTATCTTTGTTTTGGTACATTATACGTTTTCGATTAGTGGCCACTCGGAATTCAACTCTCCTCGTCATCCAGATCACAACTCTATAGCTATCTCAATWAGTTTTAGTTTTGATACTAAYAACCGTTAGGTGAACTGGACTATCGGTGTATCGGTATGAAATGACCATCTTTCCGGCTATTTATGGATACAATGCCAATAGAAATAATCGTATTTTGAAGCTAACCAAACAGAAAACCAATTTTCGACTTCTTCGCATAAATCGAATAAATCGAAGTGCTGCTCCGCCAATGCATGTCCCATCGATRAACCGGCCAAGTCTGRTGAATACSGCGGRTAGGSTRGCATCTCCCARCCAAGTACTTTGATTGTATCCTGAACCGATTTCGCTTTGTGTGCTAGTGCATTGCCGTGCAACGAAATAGCTTTGTCATTTCTTCTGGCATATTTTACTTATTTTTCGAACAACGCATGCTTCAATTTGATCAATTGTTGTCATAGTTTCTGCAGGTTTTAGCAGCTTATAATATATCATACCCCTCTGTTCCAGCCAAACACAGAGCATTGCCTTCTAATTGAATCGATCTGATTTTGTAGTCGATTTGATGGTTKTGCCGGATTAACCAATGAGAAAATCATTGGCGAATCTTAAAATAAATCCTTTTTTCATCGCCAATGACAATTCGGCGCGCAACTGATTATCTTTCGTGAATTCGAAGCAAATTTTCACAAGTGTTTTTTTTTTTTTTTCTATTTGCCGTTCATTCAATTCATGCGGCACCCATTTTCCACACTTTTTGATCTTTCCAAAAGCTTTTAAACGATCTGAAATTGTTTACTGTGCAACATTTAGCTGGCTGCCAATCACTTTTGATTCAAAGTGCCAACTTCATCCAATATTGCTTCCTTTTCATCGTCTTCAAACTTTTTTAGTGGACTTCCACGTTCTTCACTTCTCCCAACAAAATTCTTTAGAATAATATTTCCATTGTGGTTTCGGCAAGAATTCTTAAAGACTTGGAGGAAGAATTTTTTTTTTCGATTACCAATGCATATTTGAAAAAAAAAWATCGCGAAATTTTCACTGAAAATATCATTTTTTTATAAAAAAGTCTACCAAAAATACAATTTTCAGTTTTTTTTTTTCTTCGTCCAAGTCTAAGTTAAGGTTTTAACTAAAACAAGTATATTTTTTCACCTTAGATCACTAGGTAAAGATATCAGCGCAATTATAATTATGCAATGCGAAACAATGTTTGATCTTGCATATTTATACACTTACTTCCGATTGACACCAATCTAGGTGCAGGTGCACCGAAGAAGCCCCCAAAACTTATGCTAAAGGCGCATAATGCAAACTATTCGTACACAAACCTGCACACGCACACACACTCATTTATATGTATAGTTTGTTTGCCTGTTTGTGTGCCTGCATGCGCTCTCAGCTACTTTGGTGTGCACAGCTGTTTTTTGTTTGCTATTTTTAAATCAACAACAGTGAAGGCATTGCGCCGAATTCACGCGCATATACAGCTAAGCGAATAATTGTATACATGTATGTGTGCGTGTGTGTGTGTGTTAACTTAAAATAAAACGATTAAACTTGACTTGAAGCAGCACTTTAGCAGCCAATCGATAATTTATGTCGAAGCGAATCATTTTTTAACATTGAAAGCGTCAAACAAGTACAAAAACAACAAGCGCARCAAAACGAACGCTCAGCAATGCAGCAGCAGCAGCCTGCTTAAGTGCCACTAGAAGGAATAATGACGACAGGATTAGGCAATGTCAAAGTACTCGTGGAATTTATGTTAAGTGGCTGCCGATGCAGCAGCAAATCATATGCAAGCAACAACACGCATGCTAGATAAGCAATTGTGTAGCCACACGAACGCACACACACACACACACACTTTTTCCATATGCGCCAATTAGCAAACAGCAATTATACATAGTAGGGAGATATACATAGGTAATTGATTTTCTATAAAGATTTTTGCTACGCACTTTGAGCATATATGGCAGAATTTACAGTAGTACCGTAGTGYAACTAACGGTTTTCAATGCTTGGTGCTTACTTTTTGAGTTATTAACGGTTAAATGTTATATTTGTATATGTATATGTTAAATTATATACAGATGTATAGGTGTCAAGATTGAATAACGAAATCGTTAATAAGATTACGCCATTGCGCCGAATCCTTTCTCGTCAATGCAGCCGAAAGCTGTGCATTAGTACTGAGCGCTTATTTTTCGCTTTGAGCAGCTCACAAATGCCATAACTAAAGCAATGGCACACATACACACAAGCATACATACATATATGTATATATATACAGATATACATATATATTTAGATGCATACAAACATACATATTTCTGTATAAACATACATACCTACCCAGTCTATGCGCCCGGAAGGAAAGTGCAAGCAAATTTCAGAGATTAAAAGTATTTTCCATCTCAGCGTCGTAGCCTTGCAACAACAATAACAACAACAGCAGCAGCGCCGCTGTCTCATCCGCATCCGTCAAGTGCCCACCACCGAGGCGCACGCAGATGCCAATGAGTATCAGCACTCCAACGCCCTGCAACGTATGTTTATTAGCTACTTACTGCTTAGCGACGARCGTTGCATTGCTTTAACTCTGCTGCACGGGCTGCGTATGCTTTTGTCTCAGTTACTGAATTTACTAGGTTTAAATTCAAATCTCAACGTTGTAACCGCCAGTCAGCGGCGGATGTTCAGCGCAATTAGACGTGCAAATCGAAAAGTGAAAGCAACTTCAAAGCGATTAAAGCAATCAAAGGCTTGCTATAAAAATTGCACTAAATTTTCCAAAAAAAAATATATATATATTATTAAGTAAAATGACCTCGTTTTCATTAGAATAAAATAATTTSGAATATGTTAAGCAAATATTCGTGCTTAAAGCCAAAACGCGCTTTTGTTGTGTGAAAGCACTCAAGTACGCCTACGGTGTTACATAAGGTGGTCTGTGAAAAAATTGAAGTGTTTTCCAGAAGCTACTAGCTATAAAGCAATAATGAAAATATAATAGTAATTATTGTGGATGCGAGTTTGAAATTGGCATTGGTAAATAGTACTTTCGCATATAAAAATTGCTCAATTTTACATAAAATATACGTTTCGGTAAGTTGAATAAATAAACAAATTAAGTTAAAATAAATAATGAGAAAAAWTAAAAAACTGCGAAAATAAAAGCACTGAAGCTAGTATTTTAACAATTGGTGTGAAAGTGGCAATACTTTTAATTACAATARTAGCACTAAAATCGAAATCGAAAATCGAATAAAAAAATATGCGTAATAATTAATAGTATTTTTTGGCGAAAGTTACAGAAAATCTGTAGCTTTATTGGTAGTCGAAAAAGTCTTTTCGTATTTCTAATCAAACTTCAACTTATTTTTTTATATTTAT